GATCGTTGAACCCCGATGAAAGGAGGAAGTGGTGGATGAGACAACTAGACAGTTTTACTTGCATCGAAGATGAAAAGAAGGTGGTCAAACCTGTTGTGGAAAAACACAGGGTTTGTATTCAGGCATGATGCTACATAATCGGCTTCTCCAGAAACACGTACGCGTTCTACAATGATTTGCATAAGAAAGGTACGGTGTTGCCGATTCATGGAAGAAAAGGTCACTCCACCACATCAGCAACTCATGCAATGACTTTCCAGACCTTCCAGACTTTGATCATAGAGGAGGCCGATGCAATACCTGACCAGACAGACGTGAACAAGGACTATGAAGTTAGGCCGCGCATTAGATTGTCTCCAACGTACGCTACCAAAACAGATGTGTATGAAAGCATCAAAAGACGGTTGCAGAAACAGAACATAGACTGCTGCTCTTCGCAAGTATTCGGAACGATGTGGCGTGATTTCTTCTGGCATGTTCAGGTCAACCGACTATGCTAGATGTAATTACTGCATAAAACAAACAAACCTTATCGAAGGTGTCATGTCAGACGTCAGACGATGTCTCGTTGCAAAACTTAATCACCATAGGGCATTGCAGAAAGCACATCGTGAATTATATCAAATATGGTCGGCAGAATCTAAGTTCATGAGGAACAAAAGCTTGTGCATTATAATTGATGGGATGGACCAAGCAAAAACGGTGATTCCTCACACTGCTCGCAACAAGACATCAAAGGCGATGGACAATCGCATGATGATGAAAACAAACCTCACCGGTATTCTGACACATGGGAGGAGTCCGCACATTATCGTTCACACATGGTTTTCTGTTTTTTTTTAAGGCGCTGACTCGATCGTGGCATCGGTCGCAAAGGTGTTAAGAGGCATACAAAGACAAGCAGGAGGGTTGCCACCAGTTCTCAGACTCCAAGCTGATAATTGCGGGGGTCAGAATAAGAACAAATATGTATTTGTGTTCCTGACACTGTTTGGTGAAATTTCGTATTTTTGAAGTAGTGGAAATGAAATTTATGATAGTGGGTCACACACATACTAACATCGATGTGAAGTTTAGCTTATTCTCTAGGAAGCTAGCAGGTTCGGACGCCTACACAATGGAAGAATTATTCACAGCACTTAAAAATTCTACGAAGGAACAGGTAGACTGCACATTTGTAAATGAGATGGCCGATTGGAAAAATGTTGTGAGAGGTTTTTTTGACAAACGTATTGGTGGACATTTCACCCCGCACCTCTTCAAGTTCTATATGGACGGTGACAACCCTGCAATGGTGTACAAAGAGTATTGCAACAGTAATGAGTGGTTGTCTGAAGGCGAACCCATTTACTAGTTCAAAAGAGATGGGCAGGAGAGATGGGCGGGATCTTCCATGCCATTTGAACCACGTAGCCTAAAGGTTACATTGGAAAGTGAGGATTTCGTCGAAGGCTTGCAAGATGTAGGTGCCCTCGTGGATGAATGGAAAGAGAAACGACCGGAATGGGAGACACAAGAATAGTGGAAACGAGAGCTGAAAGAAAGTCGACTACAGTATTGGGAATGTCAATTGTCAATATTCAAAAACATAGAACAATGCAAACATGATGAGTCTGTCGCATTGTCGACCTCATTCTGGTCATCGCTGATGCCAGACACCGTTGAAGATATGAGATTGATTCCAACTGCAGAATCCCCACCAAGGAAACCTTGCTTCGTAGGGTTTAAGAGCGATGCCCCCAAACCAGAATTTGACCCGGCCAAAGATGTGGATGTGGGCTATTTTGTTGTGTTAAGGGCATCGGACAAGAGCGTCGAAAGAGGAATGACTTTTTGGATAGGGCGTGTGATTGAAAAATCAAAGGAGTCGGATCTGATTTTTGTTCAGTATTGGAGGCCACAAGGCAAAGACACCAATGTGTCCTAGTCGAGAAAGAGTCGTCACCTGGATGGCAAAACATTTTCACTGTAGCATGGGGATGGAAGAGCGAAAAGAGATTTGAAACCAGCCTCAAAATCCGGAAGAGTGGTGCGTTCAAGGCCATGAAATTATTGGTCGCACGCAGTTCACCATACACATTCTAACGCGACAATGAATGTTGTTTGATGTAACATTCGAACATGAAATAAGCATCTAGCATCATCGATACAAACGTTGCCACCTCATAATCTAATGGTTTTGTAGGAATTCGATGACGGACGTAACTAATTTTCGTTCGTGTTGTATTATCTCCACAGCAACCACAAAATCGGATACTTCAAGTATGGACGCCGATGTCAACATGCGCAGTCATGTTGACAAATGGGAAACACCCATACATTACACACAACTTATTCCATTTCGGCACATGCGACGAATGACAGCGGTTGGGCTCCGCACGCTTGACGAAACCACAATATACCCCACTTTTGACTTATGGTCTCCGCAAATGCAACGCAAGATGTCGAAAATGGCTAAAACATGCAACCCGTTGTCAAAATATTGGAGAACCGGGGCACAACGATGGAAGAATGTCTTCTACGGAGGCGGTTGGATATTTGACAATGAAACACGAGAGTGTGGTCAAATATTATGCATTGCGTTTCAAGCACGACATCAAATGACATTTTGATCGATCGCCACAAACCTCATCAAAACAATTATCTAGATGATATCACATATGCTGTATGTCAGCACGCCCAACTTTTCTGTAGCGTTGTTAGAGATGTCATGATACAGTTTGTGCGACATAGAACATCCGTCATTAGGACAATTGCTATGAAGGTTCTTCAAACGTTCGACGATTATGGAGCAACAAAATACATCAAGAAAATGAAGACAAAAACAATTATAGACGTGGAGCACTTGTTTCGACGTATGAATGAGATTCAACGACATATGTCGTGTAGGGTGATGATCGATGTTATACCTAATGTGGAGCACGACAGACCGAAATTATGTGAAATAGAATTAGACAATGAAGGGAAAAAAAATAAAGTTATATAGTGTATGAGAACGTGAGTGTGGAGCACGTGTAAGGTAGCAATTGATAAACGGCCGATCGAAGTGTCATGGCGAGAAAATGGGGGGAAATCAAAAAAATGGTAACAATTGATCAATGACCGATCGACGCACGTAGTCATTATTCGTATGTAGGGATATAAAAATTTGTGTTTATTTGTAGGAGACAACGATTATGAATAGGCAAGAGTTTGTGGGAAAAATACAATTACGCATTTTGTTTGGCACGTTAGTAGTGGTATGAGTGAAAAAATCATATAAAATGTGGCATACGTGCGTAAGTACAATATTTGTAGTTAAAGAGTGCAGTTTGTTATTACATACAATATACGACGTGGTTGCAATAATTGAAGGACACGGGATACTTGATAAGATTATCGACAAAATATGTCGTGCACCGTGGTTGAAAAAAACAATAGGATAATCAATGGATATGATAAATGACAGTGAAATACTAAAGTATCATGCATATAAACGAAACGTGCAAGTAAATATAAAATGTAAAGAACATCTAATTTGATTGTACATACAATCATTTTTGTGGTCATGCAGAACGTGCAGGGTTATGAAACAAGCGATAATTATTTGTAACCATAGGATACAAGAGGTGTTGCGGGGGCAATGGTGACTGTTATCAATCAAGCGGTGCCAGAAATAATGAAAACAATCACGAACGGCGGAGTATTCCCATATGAAAACATGTCGATGGTCAAATATGAAGTGGAAGAAGCAAAATTACTGGTGGTTGTCGTGAGATTCACAGAGCTTGATGTATATGACGTGCGAATTTATGAACGGCAAAGAACGGTGACAAACCAGCCGGACCACTGGGAGTGTTATAAGGGAGCTGTGAAAATTTATGAGGGGAAAAAAAACGGAACTGATGTGAGAAGGAAAACAACTTATAAATTATTCCGCATTCATAAAGGAGTTTAGTAGCATGCCTCAACCGTTGATATCTTCATGCATGTTAAATGGGTCAAAAAATGAATCACAGTGGATGCCAATTTTGAATGTTGTGAAGAGGATCTGCATGCAATGACAGTCATAATCATGAACTGAGTGCATGAAGTCATAATCATGGTTGTGAAGAGGATCTGTGGGCAATAGCATATGCATACAAGTCATACAAATACTGTTAAACATTTTTAATAATTGAGGCATGTTGATTGATTAGACAAATATCACAATGACTCTTGAAATGTTAGTTTATTAAACCAACATCCACAAAGTACAGATGGATGTGAAGAAGGATGTAAGATAAGATACACAACTATTAGATATTGACCATTGTTGTGTGTGTGTGTGTGTGTGTGTGTGTGTGTGTGTGTATGTGTGTGTGTGTGTGTGT